GTTACTTGCATATAGCTTAAAGCATTTTACGTTGCAACAAATACCTGTCCTTTTTCATGATATATTTCACAATACAAATAACCTTCAACAGTAATGAAATTATCTTCAGTAGCATTGTTAAGTTAATAAAAAACAAAATCTGAAATGTTTCAGATTTTAAATTACGTCCAAAGGGGCGTTTTTTAACATTTTGTGTGTTACCTTTCTTTATTAAATATCATGTTCCTCGCACTTAAACCATAAGATCCAGTGAAACAGCAATATCGCAAAATAGTTTTAAAACGAGCATATCTTTAGAATTTCCGATACAGAGACTCACGCGCTGGAGATAAAAATGTTTTTCTGCACAACGTTGCCATTGCTCGCTTTGAAATCCTTGAGTTTGTTAATCAAAAATTCGTCAAAGTTTTAAAAAATAGGAAATCGATCATAAAACAAATTTCAAATTTCAAATTTGGTCTTCCACATGCTCATATTCGTTGGAGGATTACGTTATTCAAAATTCGATGACTCTATGTACCGTTGTTTTATCACAATACGAGAAATATACATACATTTATGCAGACTTTTCATTATTTAATTTCTTCAAATATAATGCAGAACTCTAACATTTTGTGGCAACAGTTTGAAAAGTGAACCGACATTTATGAGTCCGACGCAAAATGCCAAAACGAAACTAATAGTCCTTCGGGATTCAAATCCCTTTGGACTAAAAACTAAAACTTTATACATTTTAAAATTATTTTAGGATTTGGAAACCTCATGGTTCTGCGTGCTTACAACTGTTAATTAAGAACATAACGTGAACAGCATGTTACAAATTAGCATTCACCCCTCCCGCCATATTTTCTTCCTTTGACCCCGAACTGACGAGCCGAGAAGCGGCATCTTTCGACGAAGACTTCTTTAATTATGCGAAAATATTTCTATCTATTCGTTGTTAAAAAATTCAGAAAAAATAACAATAAATAAGAGAAGAATAATATAAATCTCCAAATGCGAACAACGACAACCTTCGCACAAGCGAATAGGATGAATTAGCTAGGTTACCAGGTTTGAACTATTATCGCCAAAGTTGGCGATGTTTACATTTACCGGGTTCTCTGCGGAAGTGCTTCCAAAATTAGTTCCCAAAATAAAATTATATTACACAAAAAATACTATACTATAATTTCACTAAAACTATTTACACATACATGTATATATACAAAATTTGTAACAGTAGCTATATTGTTTTCATTTTCAATAATCACAGCTGTAAACAAACCAAAAGTGAAGCTGAAATTATTACATAATTAAATACACATAAAAGAAGAAATGAAGACAATTTGCAAACTTACGAAATTTTCTCGAAAGGTACTGATGGAAAGATATAAATTCTGCTTCCAAACAAAAAAGTGCGGATCTCTTAGTACAAAATACTCGATCATATACATTCGTGTAGGCGGAGTATTTGGGGTAAAGGTGACTAGATATGTGACATACTTCGTTCATTCGCACTCCTCAGCGAATTACGTAGCATCTTTTGTAACATTTGGAGAAATCTAAAAGACAGTAAAAGTAAGTAACCACTAACTTTTGGAATGAAGCGGGAATGGTCAGCAGAATGGAAGCAGAGTAGTCTCAAGTCAAATTGCTAGAGGCCTGAATGTAACTACCACAGTCATATGCAACTCATTAGAATAGTTTAAAGATACCGGATCCTTAGAGAAAAAGCCTATATTTGTCCTTTTTAGCGGTGACGTAACAGAAATGCGACCATTTTTCATCTCTCTCATGTCCTCCGTGCGTCCACAGGAAACCAAATTTCAAAGAATTACTGCATAGAGGAGGCTGCGTCGTTTGGTTTGGCCTATTTAATTATAGCAAAGCACTGAAGGGTTATCTGCCCAAGGGAAGAAATGCTTCGTGGATGAGTTTCTAAGCAAAACTGGCTCATATGCACTTTACACATAGAGGAAACCACGAAAATGCTCATGCAGCTAACCCGTTTGCCGGGATTCGATCCCCGGATCGAACTTACAGTTTTAATATTGTGCACTATCTTTTGAAAGATTGCGTTTGACAGGCCTCGAAGATAGGGCACAACCATTGGACGCAAGATGTCAAAAATGTACCGATCTATATTCAAATTACCGTCGATACGAACTAGAGATATGTGTGTCGTGCACCCAATTGGCTGCCCAAAACATTACACCATGTGCAGAGTCCCTATACCGATATTGAGTGCAAGCAGGCGATGTGCGGTATCCTCGGAGTCTCCAGACACGTATACGGCCATCAGAATACTGTACGAAATACCCGGACTCGTCTGAAAAGACGACGTTTTACCACTCCTGTATCCAGCTTTGTCGTTCGGAGCACCAAAATCGCCGTCCCTCTCTCTATGCTGCATTGTCAAGGAAAGCTGAAATATTGGTCATCATGGGTGTTGATAGTCCACGCGGCTGCAAACGTCGACGCACCGCACGAGAGGATACTAGGCGTGCTACAAACATACTCATTTCCTGACTAATGATCCGTGATGTGGTTGTACAGTTTTGCAGGGTTGACGTCACAATATGTCTGTCCTCTCGGGCGGTTGTAATAGGAGAGAGTTGAATCTTGCATGCAGTTCAATATGACCCTCAGCAACCCATTAATTCCATATTCGCATGGCAGTGGTTGGATGTCGACCAGTGCGACGGGCGATATCACGAATCGATAATCCACACTCTCGATAGGCAACGATCCTGCCTCTATTGCATTCCGATACTTGCTGGTAACGATCCTGCCTCTATTGCATTCCGATACTTGCTGGTAAGCATTATTATTCGAAACATAATAGGATATTCTCAGAAAAATCCTACTTTACAAAGCGCTTTCCGAATGGGAAATCCACTACACAAATTTCCTTTTATACAGTGCTTCAGATGTCGTTTCCTGTGCCGTCCTAATGGGCTGAAATACTTATCATTTGCATATTCCAACCTCTTCTTCCTTTCATGTGATTTTGACGTTCGTCAAATCAGTCCTTCCTGGTGTTGCAATTTTAATGTCCAGCAGTGTATGTTCATACAGCTTGACACCACTACGTTCTGGTATAACTGGTTTGTTGCGACAAACGGAAGGTACTTACGTTGAGGAGTGAAAAAGTAAATGTTTGAAACGCGATAATGCAATGAAAGAACCGTATTGAAATATTTTTGAAAATCGTCTCAAATAATTCTGACAAACGCGATTTCCGATCAGATAGCGAAATGATTAAATTCTGCAATCTGCTTTTCAGTAAATTTCGATTCTCCCCCATCTTGCACGGGACTTCATTTCATGAGTGTACATATATTTCTATCGAATGAAACATATCACCCATACTTTAACACTGCGAAAATTATTAATTCGTTGCTCCATACAAAAAATCGGTTATAGATCTATAGTAAGAAAAAAAAGGTTATAAAAATACGAATCAGCAATAGAAGCGGAAGGCTTTCGTTTGAGTTTTAAGTTATGACGATAACCACATTTACGGTATTTATTCAGTTCTCAGATGCAGCTTTTAATTCCAATACCAGAGGGAAAAATAGTCTAGGCAAATAAAGTATTTGAAATAAAAGCCTAGTATAAATGTAACAAATTTTTTAGTAATTTTCTAAGCAATCAACTTTGATTTACAAACAGCAGTAGAATATCTACAATTTAAGTTAGTCATAAGAAAAATTAATTATTAATTATTCAAATTAGCAATTTAGAAACACCTGTCAAAATAAGATGAAACTGAATTTAAGACGCAGCACGATTTTAGTGATGTTTGCATTGTAAAAAATGGCTCATCATAGAATCGAAGAAATTCGCAGAATATTGATTGATTATGAAATGAACAAAAATGCTTGGTTACCCTTATCATTTATTTGTTTTAACCCTTTAATGAGAGCAGTGACCTTCGAGCCATAGTGGCAAGGCTTCATACATCATTCCGGAATAATAAATAAATATATGCTTTTTTTTGTTTGTTTGTTTATCTGTGGAGGAAAAACGCAGGAAAAGCGAAAACACGAATATGCAAGAACAACTAAAACCCACTAGTATTCAGACTATCTCAACACATTGATAATAGCGAGAAATAATTTTCAGGATATTGTTACCTTAATAATTTAGGTGTCGGAGGGGACTTCAAGTAAATAAATGCACGTAAAATGGAAGTCTGAATGTGAAATAGAATTAAAAGCTTTTTATAGACGTACTTTCTAAAACCTTTTATAAGTGTGAATTATGAGAGTTTCGGTAAATTTTTCCTCATGGGCTATGCACCCATACATGATTTAAGAAAAATCCTTCATTAAGGGCTATGAAACTACATGTGTTTGCGTATAATCATTCAATACGTTCATACTCATATACGTTCAATAACTCATATACATTCGACAGCAAACGTTATTTACTTGGTCTATATGAGGAATATATTGCATATGAGGAAGGTCTTGTGGAATACCTTATATAACCCTGAGTTATTTTTAACCCTATTTCTTCGAATGTCAGCCTTGTTTTCTTTTATTACGCAGTTGTTAAAAAATTAGTTATACTTTTAACCGCTACAGATTTATGAGATTATTAACTTACGAAGAATAATGTTAATGATGTAAAATGCTAAAAGTAAATAAATGATTTTGTTAGCTTTTGCAATTTAAGTTTCTAAACTATTTTAGAAATACTTAGCATCAAAAGTTGAAGCTCATTCAGTTCAGCATGCACTTTGTCGTAATAAACAACTCAGCAATGGAAAGCTTAATAACATAAAAACGGGAAATTATTTAACCTCCGAACTATTGTAGTGTCTATACAGAAATCAGTGATGTTATCTACTTATTACGATTGTTGTAAATGGATTATTACACCAAAAATTATGGACCAATATGTTACATTTTAAAGATGAAGTACGCTTTAAAGAATTATAGTTTCATTAATAGGAAATTATTTTAAAGGAAACTTTTAAGAGGAAAATGAACTAAGAAAGCGATGTTTACCTCTCCACGTCATTTATGAGAACTGTTCTCGGGATTCTATGAGTCATCAAAAACTGCTCGATGAGAGGAATATTTGCAGGGGGAATCATCACATCCACTGCCTGGTTGATAGAACTGGGTTCCTTCCAGAAATCTAGCTAAAAAAAATTAAATTGGCTTTTGTATGTAAATTAGAAAGGTTTAAATTATCTAGCTTAAGATAGAAACTTATGCAGAACATCTGATTTGCTTGTTCTGTACTTTTTTCATCATTTCATCAAGAAACTCTTCTTAGTAGCACTTTTGTCGGATTTTTTTTATTATAAAGACAGAAAGAGCAAACAATTTTCTGAAAAAAAAAAAAAGTGCTCCAGCGTTGCTTATTGGCCACTGGTAAACGTGTTGGTCTTGTTTTCGAAGTATCATCAATAAATGTTTATATATTGCGCCATTCTTTGTTTATTAAAATAAACTTAATAAGCATAGATCTTATGTTTGGAAAACTTTTATCACAATCGAAACGACCTGATGATGAAAATGTGTTTTCACGCTGGAAGTATAAAGTTCAAAAAAGAGGAAAATCGCTGTCTACTCGAGATTTAAACCCCCATCCCCTTAAATGAAGCTTCTTCACTCTGCGTAACGCTCGCACAATGATGGATTCTTCAACTAGTAATACAGTAATGGGTAAAAAGTAAATAATATATATGCGTATTTTATCACTTCCACAAGAGTTGTCATAGACATACGATCGACAGTGCGTAGCGCTGGCACTGTCATAGCACTGACGTGTAGAATCGGCAGTGTATAGGAGGGCAGTGCATACGCTTGATAGGAATGAGCATATGAGACATAGGACTTTACCAACATGATGATACAAGTACTGTTTCTGATGCTACTGATTCCGTGAAGCATCCAACATAGGTTCCGTGCGATTTTCTCAAAATATTTTCATGCAAGTAGAAGCGCATGTGTTCTAATATGAAGACATGCTTCGTAATAGTTATTCTTCACAAATATCTTGGCCTTATTCCCCCGAAAGGTATTTAACAATATTGATTTTATTATGAAATTTCTTAAGTGTTTCTAATATATCTTCGGAACTTGATTCCATTAATAGTTAGTCTAATAGTGTTATGTATTTGTATTAATGGACATAAGAAAAGGTAGTGCTCTGGTACGCCCTTCAGTTATAAGCACAAATGTACGAGGAAGATATATTTTTCTCATAGTAATAGGAGGGGAAATGGCCGCGTCCAGATATAAATTAACAGGTATTAATGAGAGACAACGTATCTAGTTTATTACATTAATTCATATGTTTTGTTCAGCCTTGGGGTACGAAGTTCCATTCTTTCTGCCAAATTGGATTTATTTTAGAGAATACTTTAGATATGACTTTGGTGATTTTATGTTTGTAACTTCGGAAATGAATGTAACAGCTGCGTCTTTAACAAGAGAGTTTCTGGTATTCTGGAGTTTTCGTTTCTGGCATTCTCTGCATGTGATTTCATCCAATCAAGTGAAATTTTAATTTGTCTTTTTCTCTTGGATGAGATAATTTCTTGTGATGTGTGGAAGATTTCTATTGATATTGTATGTAGTGAAGAATCGAGTGGATGGTGAACTAACTGCTTTATTAATTCAGAAGTCAAATAACAAAAATCAGCGTTATATTTTCAAATTTTCACAGGACTAGTTTCGATGGTGGTTTTACCGAACCACCATCGTCAGCTGCAAAAGCGCAAATGAACGAGATAGGATATAATGTGTGTATTTAATTATGGCAAAGCACACGAGGGCTATCTGCCTAAGGGGAGGGATGCCTTCGTGGAGGACTTTCTAAGGGAAACTGGCTCGTATACACGTTACACATGGGAAAAACCACGAAAACGCCCATGCAGCCAGCCCGTTCGCGGTATTTGAACCTCGGACCGAACTACCAGTGTTCAGCGACTTTACCGCTCGGCCGCTGGTGGGCGATAGGATATAATGATCAGATAAGATAAGAAAGCCTGGACAGAAAATAAGCTAGTGGCACCATCTGTTGATGAAACCAGAACTAAAACATAATTTCTTTAAAGGCCGAAGGCAAAGATGGATTGGAACTGGGATCGTCAACTATAACAAAAAGATTTTTTGAATGTGAAATGCCTCTAGAAAAATCCAGTTCTCCAATGAAAGATGTTTTTTGAATAATTTTGGCAGCAGAAAAATTGAAAGTGTGATTTTCGAACCCACAATGTTGGGCAACAGAAGACTTCTGCGTTTCCTTTTTTCTAACGTACGCCTCATGTTCCTTGACGCGAAATTTTAAGGCTCTCTTAAGTTGGCCAATGTAAATTAAGCTACACTGGCAAGGAATCCTTTAAATACCCCAAGAATTCATATCCGGAATGGGGTCCTTGAGTATGGAACTCGGAATTTTATTGATGGGAGAATAAAGGACCCGAAAGTTAAATTTCTGCAAAATATGTGCGACTTTATAGCTAATTGATGGAAAGAAGGGAATGACTACAGAATTTTTATAATGTCCTAAAAAAAACTCCTTTTAGTGTGTTGAGATGAAAATTTTTTAACTGCTTGATTAATAATGTTGGATGAAAAGCCCCTGTCAACAGCTATTGCTTTTAAATAATTTAGTTCTTCATCAAGGGATAGTTTGGAGGAGCCAACTTGAAGAGCACGGAAAACATAGGAATAAAAAGAAGCTAACTTTTGTTTAGTGGGATGACATGATTTAAAGTGTGGTGGAAGGCAAACAGATGAAGGTTTACGGTAAACCGTAGAACTGAAGTTGGATGTGTTATGTGAGACCAGAATGTCTAGAAACGGAAGAGGATTGCAAGTATCAAGTTCAAAAGTTAACTGAATAGCAGGATCAATAGAATTTATTATTGAAAGACCTTTAAATGATCTTTATTACCTTCAAACAGGGTAAAAGTATAGTCTACGTAGGAGACCCATATTGGGAAGTTTAAAGTTTCAAACAATTTTGATTCATAATAATGCATGTAATCAGCCAGGATGGGACCGAGTAGGCTTCCCATGGCTAATCCCTCAGTTTGCTTGTAATATTTATTTTGGAAAACAAAATGTGTTTGTTTCAAACAGAGTTGAGTGAAAGAAATTAGCTCATCAATTTCGATGCAAGAGAAATGAAATTCGCGAAGTCTGGTTTCTAGACATCTTAATGCACCCTCCATTGGAACATTGGTGAATAATGATTTTACATCAAAAGTAACCATGAGTAAATTTCTAGGAGAAATGTTTTTAAGCTTTTTTACAAACTCTATTGAAATTTTTATGGTGTAAATGTTATTGTCTAATAGAGTTGAAAATCTAGAAACTGAATATTTAGCTAATGGATACGAGGCAGTACCTAAATTTGATACAATAGGGAGGAAAGGAATACCACTTTTATGAATTTTGGAAAGAGCATATAATCTGGCACAATTCGCAACAGATGGCAACTGCGTTATTATTAATTGTAGCTTCTATAGTATTTTTAATAGCTAAAATTTATGCTTGGAAAATTACATTTTCTGAGCCCAGGCATCTTTTCCAGTGTATTTTTAGTTTTTCGTTTGTGTAGAAATACAAGCTGTTCCGACATTTTCATCTATTTTCGATCTATCTGCATTGATATTTATAGCGCCTTTAGCAGATTTTGATGTTTAGAGAATTTGCATGGTGTCGGGAGTACAGAGTGCTTGTGTGTACAGAGTGCTATTCAGATCATATTAGTCCGTTTAAGCAAGCTTGATTTCTATGCTGTAATGTTTTGATTCTAACTCTAATAGAAGATATAATAATGGTATTCAGGGTACAGCACAGTATAGCATTAGAAAGTGGTGCAGAAAGAGTATTGTTATAGAAGAGGAAAATATCATTGAATGGTACGGAGGTGTTACTTCTTTGTTATGGGAACAGTCCAGATAACAGCTCAGTAATTAATAATATTCACTATTACTATGTTGAACAATAGCTTATGAATATGAGGATTTAAGTCCCAAACATAGCCCCTTATTTGTTTTTGGAGTTGGCTATTTTTTAAGCTTTAGTTCTGATGTCTTGAAGATGTTCTATCCAGTTGAGTTTTTTTGTCTTTAGTAATTCTAAGAAATTTCAGTTTATTTAAGACCTTGATTTTTTTCCAGTTAATTTCGGAGGTAAGTTTTCTTCGTACGCAGGCCCGTTCCTGGGGGTTTGAATGCCTGCGTGTAGGTTTCTTTTGGGCGCTTTATATAATTTAATAATTTATTTTGGCCTTTGTACAAAAAAAGGCCTTTTTTACCGAGTTTTGGACAAAAAAAATCGTTGGATAATATATTTGTCCTTGCACAAGTAACTTCCACTTTACAAGACTTTATCGCCTGTTAGTTTTGCCGCCTGCGTGAGGGTTATTTGTTGAATATTCGTCAGGAACGGGCCTGTTCTTATGATGTAACTGGGCTTGTTAAGCATCATCGCTTTGAATGATTCTTGCACGTTACATAGTTGGTTGAAGAGTGCGAGAATGCGCTTGTTGCTATCTTTGAGTTTCCCCCCTTGTTCTGCCATAGATGATGAATGCCGTGTTGTCTTTAGTTATGACAAGTAAATTATAAATTTTTAGTGTACTTGTATACGATGGACATCAGCGCTGATAGAATTTGCTGAGTGGTTACTTATTTATAAGTTCCTATAAATAAGTAACCATTCGGCAAATTCCGCGCTGGAAGGACATCAGCATAGGGTCGAAACCTGTAATTTGAGCTGCCATTTCGATCCTGTGTTAGTAGAAGCTGTCGATCCAGTGGCGCCTTTCACTCTGATATTCTAATTTCTTACTAAATGCTCGTAGTTTTTAACATTTTTACTTTGAAACTTTAAGTATTAATTCTTAGTGTTCTGTTCAAATTTTAGTTAATTATCCTATATTTTTTCCTTTATTTTTATATAATAATTTTTCCTCTGCTGTTTAATAGCATTTTTAAGAGTATATAAGACAGATTTTACTTTAAAGATGGCGAGCTAAAGTCGAAACGCTTCTTATTATTTGAATGTTCTTATGCGTAATAAAATACTTTATCTAATCACTGTCTCAAAATTTGGATGCATTTAATCTAAAGAACAATATCGTATTTTCTTTTATCATGAGACATTTTCCAAATATCTTTCACTCTTTGAGATTTTCCAGGAACAGAGTTTTAAAGCATTACTAAAAGAATATTATCATTAACGATGTTTTTCATTCATTCTCATAATATTTCCTTAACAAATCACTTTATATCTTTTCATCTTTATATCTATCTTATTTATCTATTGAATAGATCACAATTTATTCTGATTACCTCGTATATTCTCATAAATATTTTCTTGAAGATCACTTTATAGTTAAGGGGAACAGAGTACAATTTATTCCTATTACCTCATATTTTTCATCCATCTCTTTTAGTGCCTTCAGCAATTCCAGTTGCATTTCATCCATAGGGACCATTCGGAGTACAGCATACCTGAGAAATATAAATTATACAATTTAGCTTTATGAGTAGTACTTCCTCTTTTGTATGGTTAGGAAATTATATTAAAGAAAAAGGTATATAAAACTATTCTTTATCTTTCAAGGTTTTTAGTTGGGTATTTAAAGAATGATGATTATGATAATAAAGGAAAAGAAGTTTAAAACCTCGTGTCAGACGAAATCAGGCCACAGTAATGTGAATATAGATTCGGTGGGTACAAGACAGATAGACTAATTAGCGGGAATGATTGCTCTAGCCTTCCCATGCCACCGAACGAGAGGATAGGCATGTTGTGTACATGGCAAAGAGGGCTGCATTTTAAAACATTACTAAGAGGGGTACAGCACAGTTAAGAACTCTAAAAGCACTAATTAGGGTATGTAAAACAATAACTGAAGTCAACACGTACCATTCGACACTGTCTGCAGAGGATGAGAATTTTTGCAGGGCGCCTATTACTGGAAATACCATTGGCTCTGCACCACTGGCGTATATGGCTGCAGTGTTGCTTCGAACGTCGAATATGTCCAAACGAATAGCATGACATTACCTTTTCACATGAAAGTTGATTCTGCCATGATGATTGTATCAATATTTGGAGACATCTTAAAGAGACATCATGACCGTTACATTATGTATTGCCATAACAATCTGTCACTAAGAGTTATGATTTAGGGTGCCATTAGGTTTCACACCTGCCCCGATACGCATTCCCAATATACTCAATAGCCACCATTACATCTTTAAAATTTTGGAGCCTGATGTCTTTCCCGTGCCTTCAAGGCTTACTTGCGGCCAAATTTCAGCAAAACAGTGCAACATAAAATAATTCTTCTTCACTACCACCAAGATCGCATTACTTCCTTAGCCCGGCTATTCACATGATATGTTGCCCTCTCAACGCGTCTGATGGATTATTGGCCAACAAGTGGTCTAGCATTACATCGCTGGCAGCTACGTCCATGGAGGTAGGAAGTAAGAAGGAGTCGCCCTAAACAAGTTTCTCCGTACCCTGCTCTGAAGCACCGGCGATCCCTACGTGGTGACCAAAACATTGGGTCATTTACCATGAGTCTCTATGGGATTTGACGCGCGTTCGGGTGTAAATATTTTGTAATTACGTCGCAAATATACATATAAATGTATATATTTTCTTTTTCTACAACATTCAGAGTCCTAAGTATGTGAAAACAACATATTTTTAAACAAAATTTCATTCTGAACGGAATAAATGCTATACTTTTCACAGGACAGTTTTCTCAGAATGGTTAATTTGATGAAATATTTTCACAAGTTTTCGTTAATTACATTAGAAAAAAAAATTAAGGCAATTCGATTTTATTCGGTTAAGGTACAAACATTAAGATCAAAGTTTATTGTATTATTAATATTAAAAATATGCATTATTTCTTTCTATTATAGAGCTTCTTCCTAAAATATTTCTTAAATATGACATGATTTTTTGGCTTCTTTTAAATCGAAAAATGTAAGTCAATTTATAATTAATGCTCTATTCGGTTCATTTTAAATTAGAGATTATTAGGAATTAGCGAAATACTTTAAATAAGTATTTCGTAATTCCTAGTAATTAATAGGTATTAAATAGTATTTGACTTTCTCTGAACATTTCTAAAAGGGAATAAAAAAGTTTTTTTAAAGTATTATTTAAAACTTGTAACTGAGTTATTATAAAATGTAAAGGGAATAATTCTTTAATTATACTTATCAGACTTTTTTTTTTTTACCCTTCATTTCAACAATACATATTCCAAAACTCTTTATTACGTTCTTTTAAGTGCGCATCTCATAGCATTTGCTTACAATACCTTTTAACAGATTGCTTTCCAATACGAACAATTCTTGCTTAAATAGTTTATAACGATTTGTCAACAGGATTTCAATTTATGTTTACAATTCAATATTAAGGTTATTATATATTTAGATAACATTTATAATCATTTATAAATTAGATCATTTAATAATTAGATTTCTTCACAGTACTTTCACAGTTGTTTATAAGTGAATAAATTCTTCATTCAAACATTTATAAATAATTTAATCAATATTTAAGTATTTTGTTCAAAGGCGGATACATGCTTTTTGCAAGCAGATGCATAAATACCCATACATATTTCCTATTTTCATTTCTGGCATGTGCAAATCTTTAATTTCTGTGCATTCACTATATTTTCGTGTAAAGTAATTTACACTAATTTAGCATACACCCGAAAGTTTAATAAAAGATATATATGAATATAATTTGAATGAAAATTATAAATATATTTTTAATATCCATCACAAGGTCAGTTTTCTTCAAAATTCCTCCACGATGGCATCTCTCTCTTTAGGCAGATAGCCCTTGCATGCATTACTCTATTTAATAAAAACTTAATGACCTATGTGCCTAATTACAAATATTTTAACATACATAATTTATATTTACATTTAGCCATCAAGTTTCAAACTTTTCAAAATCTTCTAGAAAATAAATTTTGGCAGATCTCTTTAGCAATTTTCTTAAAATCTATATTTTGGTAGTGCAACAGCTCGAATTTTATAAAACAAATTCATAATCAAAATCGCTGTTGTTGTTATCGAAAAATAACCAAGATGTGATTTTTGCGTAAATGTCAGTAAACTATACAAATTGCTATTATCCATTACACTATGAATGTTTCTTTCATGCGAGAGTGTCCCTTTTTCGATTTCTGTGGAACTGTCGTGTGTCGAAATACTATCAGAATCTTGTCAAGCGAGCTTCTGAATGTAAACAAAGAACACCCTGTCTGGTGACCCAAGCTTCAAAGCAGTGCTTCACTTCTAGCGCGGAATGGCCCCTCCTCCCTTTCCTACCTCCATGGCTACGTCAGATCACCTATCAACACGTGGGAACAGTATCGAATTGACATATCTTAAGCATACTTCCAAAGCCTCTTCTATCAGGGCGGAAGCATGCCACAGTTATTGCTAGCCATGATGGCTATATAATACTAATTTCTACGTGTTTGAAAGAGAATGTAATTTTAATTCGATTCTAAAGGAGATGTATAATTTTAATCAATTAACCCTTGTATGTTATTTCACTAATATACTTGGGCTTTGATAGCTCTTGTTCTTCGTGGTTTGTATTTTGTGTGGCTACCACTGCAGTAGGTACTTAAATTAGTACATGTGTTTCTATATGCATTTTAATTCGTAAAGTTCTTACTTTAGTAATTTCTCTCAAAAGAACAAAACAATGAACCCCCCCTCAAAAAAAAAGGAATATATTTGTAATTTATCTCGACTTAAATCAAAAATTAGGGTGGTAAAAACATGCAAATAAATACAGTATGCTATAGAAATTTAAAAGAATCATGACATTCCATTTATTTAAACTGAATTCAGATGAACTGAATGACTTCCGAGAAATCTGAGGGACTGCACATTTCCAAAAAGCTATTGATAAACTTTCGAAACCTTTATTCTGCTTAAAAACTTCAGTACCAGACATTCGTATATGAGAACTTTTATAGACATTGCATTGGATTATTTATTTAAGGGAAAAAAAAAACATATTTAGAATTTTAGAATGACACAAGAATAGAAAAACAAAAAGGACTAAATTTTATTTGAAGATACTCAAAAATTCGACAATCCAAATAATTGGCATTTACCAGAATGTAACTTTAATTTCGCCTACCAAATTCAAATCTATATGACTTCAGACACAGCTTTCACACTCATATCAAGCCGTTTTAGTAAGTGAAACAAATATATTTCGGTACTTATGTATTAACGCAACGACCTTGGCGTCGTTTGGAGTTTTTTACAGAAGAAAAAAGTTATTCGGTGAATTTTTGGCATTGCAGCTTATAATGGATATGGTTACCTAAAAAACTGTTATGCGCAGTGCTGCCATAGTTTGGCGACTTCAGAAAATTTGGTGTCTTCTACTAAGGTGGTTGCGATAATACGCAAGTACCTCTATTTAATGTAGTATAAATCATACTATCAAGAGAATTAGAGTTTTAGGGCTGAGAATATCTTCTTCGATTAAAAATAAACCGAACATGAGGCTAAAAATTACTAGCAGTTTAAACCTGCTATAATACGATCGTTTTTTTTTTTTTTTTTTTTTTTTTTTTTTTTTTTTTTTAACTGGGATCATAAATGCAAGGCGGAGTCTTCACAGGGAAACTCGGATATATGAAAGTCAGTGTGAAGAGACCATTAAATCAGCTGGAAGTGCTAACTACTTTACATCACGACAGTGATCGTGAATTAGGTAATTTCTTATATTGTTCTCCGGTTAAAATGCGATTGAGATGAAACACAACAGCCAGTCGACCAAATCCAGGCGGTGATGATTTATTGACCACCACATTTTAGTTCACTAGATATTATCAAATATTTCGAACCTGAAAACTCAACTCTGTCCAGTTCGGGGTCTTCCAAGTTCCAGCCGAACGTGCAAACCACATATACAGAGGGTAAAAAAAGTACTGGCAATTGCCTCTAATTGATCATATTACCTAACAAAGGAAATGATTGACAATTTTAGCTGGACATTACAAACACAGGAGGTAATAAACACACAAATCCTAATGAAACTTTCAATTTAATATGTCTTCTACACAAAATATACAACAAAAACGTAAAATTGCACATAAAAAATATTAGCAAAGTTCTAACTGCCATGCAAATTTTGTTATGTTGAGGTTGCGTGTTTAGACTGATAAGAAACCTTATTAGTATAAAGTCTGCAGTGTTACTTCAAAACCTTTAAAACGTTATTTTCCTAATACTGTGATAAAATGGCTTTAAAGTCGAAGGGGTTGGATGTTAATGTTAAAACATGATTATTCAGCTCAGAAATGAGGGTTTAACTTATCGTGCTATAGAAATACAGCTGAAGATAAGTTTGTTTACTGTTAGGAGTGTTATAAAAAAGTTCAAAGAGACAGAATCGAGAGAAAATAAGATTAGAAGTCGATGGCCTTGAATATTTT